AGGGCCTCCTCTACAGTCACACCCTCTTTACAGTCACTGGTTTCAGGGGAACCGAAGGTGTGACTGTAGAGGGGGACAACTGTATAATCTTTCATCCAAGGAGACTGTCGAAACTTTAAGGCACCATGAATTTTTGTAACTTTCATTCCATATTTTATATATAGCTGGAGAGCTCTATAATGAATTACATAATTTTTCTTGGGTATAAGAGTTTGTAATAACTTTTCATTACTATATATTTTCCTCCTCCAACATCTTTGTCATGTATCAATTTTTTGTTGTAAGGACTAATCCAACTTTCTGGCACAATTTGCTTTTCCGGAGCTAAAGGATAATCTGCAAAGAAATCATGTAAATCTATAGGAGCTTCCAAATCAGGAATTTCTTCTGGCCCTACTTTTCCTAAAATTTCAGTTGGAATGTATTGCGTCATTGCTCCTGAATATAATAATATTGATGTTGGAAATTTTTATTAGTAGGTCAGCTTGTGCCACACATCAACCAGATTTATTTATACGTCATCATTGTCCTCACCTTTCCCCACAATCTTTGACCAGAAGTAATTAAGGAGCGCTTGAGGAAATATCCATCTTGCTAATAGCTCCAATGACCACTCCTCTTCCCCCTGGTCTTACTTTAAATGAGAGAGAAACTGAGGTATTTAATGGGCTCTCCCGACGACAACTAAGAGCGTTTAACGCTCTGCCAGATAATCCATTGAAACTTATTTATATCCGAGCGACTATGGATGCGGAGGAGAAAGATCGCCAAAAATCGGTATGTCTAGAATAAGCGACATATACAGTATTTATCGGTAAAATTTTTACTAAATCGTTGTAGCCTCTTCATCGTTTGTTTTTTTCGCGACTTTTCCGCTAGGACTTGGACCAAAATATCCTCTATACTATAATCTACGTTTCTGTCCTTGTTCTACTCACGGTTTTTAGTGTAACCATTTATAAGAATGACGAAGACAAATTAATTGTCCCTAATAGTTCGCTAGGTGAGCAGTGTACTAGATCTAATGTTTTAAATTCCTAAATTGTTATTTCAAGCTTTCGAATTAATTATAGGTTTTATAGCGGAGCAAAGAATCAAAGACAAGAGCCCATAAAATGAAAATAAAATAAAATTCGATAGCGATAACAAGTATTTGGGCTATTTTTATAGAAAGATATTGATGTCGGAAGGTTGATGATTAAATTTTAGGGCAAAAGTGATTAGAATGTGCTATTTTACCTAACGTAAATTACAACTGCGGTTATAAACAGTGTCATTCATCCATCCCCTTGAATCAGCAGCCTTTTGTAGTCTCTTCTACTATAGCAATTTCTATTCATACTTACCGGTTAACTTAATAGTATAACGGTTTGTTGATCACAGATTATGTCAGACTTGTGTCAGGATTACCATAGTTTGTATTATTACCATTTTTGACTCGTAGAGTAATGTTAGTAATATTCTGCCAAACTTTTATCCGCTCAACTCGTCTTTGTGAAACATATTATTAATTTTGGTGCTTCAACATGGAAACGGAAGCATGACAAGATTCAAATATGGAGGACAAGTAAAATTCTTGGCATTCGATGATTCTGATTCCTTAAAATATGCTGTGGCTTATGTTCACGTTGTCTGGCTTTGCCCAAATAAAGAGAAAACCCTCTTATTGTTTTGATAAGATATCTTTTTGTCTTTAGAAAATCGCTAATAGTGCCAACATTTGTTTCTATGACCTTTAATCACAACATTGTATTGAATATTAGATAAAAAGCCATTTAAGATGGACAAATTAATATGCATAAAAATTCGAAGGGTTGGAGAAAACTGATGCTCTTGCGATAAGATGTCTACGACAAAGAAAGTATTGTATTGATGAGTATTCGGTAACGCCACATTGACTATAGTTTCAAATTTTATCCGAGCATAGCATTTGTACCCGTATAGTATGCGGTGTAATGATGAACCGTTACCGCTTCTAAATCATAATGTAACATAACAAGCGACCAACATCATAATCAGGAATGCTCGAATTATGCTATTGATGTCTTCTTCTCTTCCCTTACCTTCTTGATCAGTCCAATTCTTCAACCGTCGATAGATAGATGTTCCCCTATGTACCAGATTTTGGGTCAAGTGAAAAATCTCAATGTTTACAGTTATGCATGCAGGGAACAATCTGAGATGGGAGAATAATATAAATCTGATAATGAAGCACGTGAAAATTGTCGCATATGAGTTGTGGGACAACGAATGTCGAATGTGGCTGTATAACATATTAACGAATAATGGAGTAATTATTTATTATTATTGTATTAACCGTATATTTAATAATACTTGATTATAACCAGTTTCCTATCAGACAATTGTTTTATCAAGTATGAGAACAGGTTACTGATTACGAAAACAAAAAAAAAGCTTTGAATTAGGCCGCGCGAACAAGGGGAAAAAGATTATCGATTTTCAGAAGCTGCAAAGAATTCATGTCACGCGGTACATACTCGCTATGTCTAATCATGGTCCGTGATCTACGTCAATCGTCATACCCCGCGAAGAGTCTTAATTCCATTCCAGTTGTATAATCATAATCGACGGTGAAAATACTGAATTACTTCGTTCTCGGCCTACCATTGCAACCCACACAAGACCAAATACTTTACACATCTCGCTTGGATCGAATTAATGCAAGAAACATACTACTGATTTGTATCGTTTTTGGGTAAATTCGATCCCTTTTTGTTCTCAAAATGCAGCAAGTAATCGGTAAATGAAATAGAAAGCCTGACATAATTTAACTTCATCGCCCCTTGAAATCTTTCTGTGTTACTGTGTGGCCCAAAGTCATGCAGGTTGGCGAACGGTTGAAGCATCTCTTGTAGATATCTGATAAACCTCCGTCAATCCCATACGCATTTGGCAATCGGGAGGGAACGTGACAAAGAATAGTGCATCAAAAATGTGGTACAGTCGGCGTATAGATAACTATCAACCACCGCATAAAATTTTACGATCTTGACGATTTTATAGTGGATAAATATGGTTGTCGGCTTTGTCTCTGCACTCATTTGACTCGAACACATTAAGCCCTAATTTAAATAACCAGTAAATACTAGAACGATGGGTCGTCTATCAGCTCTGGTCTATAGTATATTTTATACGGTCATAAAAAGCATCGCAAAGGTTATCCTCTATGCGTTCTACCGTAATCATGAAGCTCTACATTCAGAGAACTTCCCTGCCGACAACAATACTCCCATGCTGGTTATTGCTGCCCCTCACGGCAATTTTTTGATGGACGCTATTACCATGTTTGTGTCATGTCCACGGCAATTATATTTCCTAAGTGCAAGGTCAAATTACAATTATCCGATATTTGGTCAGGTAATTCACGGATTAGGTGCCATACCTGTAACGAGGCCACAAGATTTAGAAAGATTAAGAGGAGATGGTTTAGTTACAGTTCATGAAGATGGCAGAACAGTGAGCGGCGAAAATATTGGAACGACATTGCATGTTGGCGATACATTATACGTCGAATTCGAAGGTCCAGGAGACAATAGTATGCTTAAAGAGGCCAATGGGATAATTGAAGAGATACTTGACGAAAACACGGTTAAAGTTAAGGAACCCGGAATGAAATGGCTTACAAAAAGCAGACGCAAAGACAAGATGCGAAGACTAGTAGAGTACGGAAGTTTTGTCATCCGCGTTGAACGAGGTAGCACACTACGTACTCTCGAAAGCCTTAATATCCTACCAACGACAATTAGCCGCGGCATCGATCGGTTAGCAACGTCCCCCGGGCGACTACCTATCCCTATTCCCACCGAAGACGACGACTTGAGAGAAGTTGTTGTTAGTACATCGCCAGGAACTTTTCTGTCCGAGAGAACGCCTTTGCTCATCTCGGACATGAGAAATTCACGGAGCGCTTCATCCTCATCCTCGTCTTCGTCTTCTCGGATAGTAAAACCCAACATCCCTCGCGTTCCTAGTCTTCCGACTACGTATACATACACACACATGCCTCCGCACTCTGAGATTTACTCGGCGGTTTACAACCATTTTTCCAATGGCGCATCGGTCTGTATATTCCCCGAAGGAGTTTCTCACGATAACGATCACATGTTGTCATTAAAGTTCGGATGTGCAGTTATGGCTTTGGGGTATCTTGCGTCACGCGAACCGGATGCATCCGGAAAGCCAAGGACCCTAAAGATAGTTCCCTGTGGTCTTAATTTCTTCAACCGCCATCGATATAGAAGTCGTGTCTTTATCGAAATTGGCCCTACGATTGAAGTCGAAGAGAGACTTGTCGATATGTATCGACGTGGTGGAGATGCCAAACGCAGAGGTAGGAATAATGTACCAGTCAGAGCACCAATTTTAGACACTTTCCTTGGTTAACATGCCGTAACATTTGGTAATCGATTACTAGCTTGTCAAGAACTCTTGAAAAAGATTCATTCGGCACTGCAAGAAATAACAGTGAATGCTTCCGACTACGACACTCTTCTATTCTTCAAGACCGCATCGCGTCTTTATCGTGAAACACTGCCTAACGAACTGACATTCCATGAGAAATTAGCTTTATTGAGAAAGATTGCTAAGGTTGCGTGTGTCCATTTGCATCTGTATTTTCATTTTCATTCTAGTACTTAACGAACAACATTCTATCCTTTTAGAAATACTCTTCGACAACACCACCAACAGATGAAGCCCGTCGACTGAAATATGACGTATTACAATTTGCACAAAGAGTCCGCAGAGAGCGCATTGCCGTCCCCAATGTTTCTGTCACATCTCTTTCGTTATTCTGGTACCTACCTCTGTTCATCGGTTTAGTGCTGTTAACTCTGCCAGGTTTGATCCTCTTTCTACCTATTGGCCTCGTGTCACATTATGTCGGGAAGAAACAAGGGGAAAATGCAATGCTATACGATGACAATTCTCTCGCGATTACTCGCTGGCCGGGGCGAGATGTAATTGCTACATGGAAGATTATAGCGGGACTTTTCCTATTTTTAATATTCGACACCATTTACACTACTTTATCCATGCAATTTATCACCAAATTCAAGCTCTGGGAGTTCCATGGAAGAAACGAACGTGCTCTAGCCAGTATATTCTTATTCGTATTGCTATGGCCAGTTATAGCCTACGGAACTACGTTACTATGGGAACGAACATGTTGGGTCGGTAAGACAGTCTGGGTCGGAGTGTGGGGTTTAATTCATCCGAAACGACGAAGAAGACTGTTGACATGGAGAGACGAATTGTCGGCACGCGTGCGTAAGTGGGTTGAGAGTAGCGCTCCTGCTCCCTTGCCCTCGCCCAAACCTATGCCGGCTAGTTCACATCGAATGAATGGTCGCGAGTCTAATGGCGTCAGGTCTAATAGTGGAAGCAATAGCTGGCGGGCAAATTTGCTATCAACTAGTGGAGCTTCTCCTCGCGACTTGTCGCCAAATGCTGTTCAGGGATTCCGCCCGCAATCTTTTGGTGTTCAGGTCAATGGATAAGCGATAGTGTAGAAATTTGATGTTGGACATTAATTGACTTCATCTTATTTATCAGTCTATCTTTTGAACATTATCAGTAATAGAATCATTTATCGTATTGCCATGAATAATTTTTGTCCTGGCTGAGTAAGAATGGACACATATATAGCACTGATGTATACTTATGTATCTCTCAATGTGTAAAACTTTGTTTCTGCTTTCTTGTCTTATAACCTCTGTATTTATTTCGCTTTTTCTTTTTATCTGTAAAAAAAAAAATAAACCAAAATCTATATTATCATTTGCATTTGTGTTTTCTGATCCATGACGTTATAGATGAGTTGAAACAGAGCAGAAGAAATTGCCATTGATCGTTTAACAAGAGTGTGTGTTAGATGATTTCAAGTTGAAATCAGTGGGCTAGTGCAATGAAGTTTGGATGTTTGCTTCAATAGATTCATGTGGCAAAAACTCACTGCCGAGAGTGTAGTTTGTGTTTACTGTATATTCACAACACTCTCTATTTATAATTAGTTAGAACACTATTCCACGAGCTGACCTAACAAATTGGATGACGATGTGGTATTACGCAAACATATCTATAAAGCTAATGTGCCCAAACAGAAATTTATCATTATCGAATTTGAGTGTGCCAAATACAAATTTTTGCTGATGTCCAGAATAGCCCAAACCGCAAAATAAGCCTTTTGCCCAAAAAGTTATTTTTCTACTACTGTAACGAATTATTTATATTTGGATTTTCAGGGTAAACTGTTAGTTGTCGCATTTTTTCACGAACAATCCGTAATGTTCAGTTAAGTTCTTGGCCATTAAATTATTAGGATTTTATCATTTAAAGTTGGGACAAGAATGTATGCTCGGATTTATTTATTTTTTTGCATGTTTAAGTCTTTTCAGACTATCAAGTATGTACGAAACAATGCCTAGTCTCTATCTCCGTAGCCTTGGCATAGGGTCGTCTTAATGACTTGACAGGTATATGTGGTATCACGTGATTCAAATATTGTCAGGCGCGTAGTACTTGTACAGAATGAATGCAGACAAGTGTCATTCCCGATACTGATCAGCGGATAGGTCGTTGCGACCAAAAGTATTTCAATAAAAGTAAGTAGCTATTAGTGGCAAAGGAAATAAGAAAGAGAGAGAAGTCGGACTACGCGTCAATGTAACCACCTAAGCGAGTGAGCCTCGGGTTAATTATAGTTACTAGGTTAATTATTGAGTACGCCTTCGTATTAGCTTATCTTCCTAGGACGCCTTGGGTTAGTTATAAAGTACACACCTCCGGTGGGCTTCATATTAGCTTTCTTCAACCAAAGGCTCATGTATATTCTGGATGTCGCTTACATTTTCGGATTTGAGCATGTAAAAATTCTGACCGGAAATTGACCTGAAAAAAGCCGAGTGTTGTCAGATACTATTTTAGAGCAGAAGAAAATAGAAGGAAATGGATATAACACATCCAAGGCATGTGTTATCGTGGTATCTTGAATACTGAATTTTGTAGAATTATGTTTTTGTTATTTGTTTGCAGACCGAGAAGTTCTATATGCATGTGACTGTTTATTATCACGTGAACTACATTTCCGTTATTCCTGATAATCATTGGTTGCTATGCATTTTTTTCCTTCATCTACCTAGGTCATGCAAAAACTGCCATGGCATATAATGAGCACCCGTTTTTAACAGATATAAAGGTCACCGACCCAACTCCTATGCCCGACAATGTGCCTAAGGTAGACGAAGTAGGCGCAACCTCGGCACCGTTAAAGTCAGCCTCTTTCTTTATTGGGGGTTTTTGTAAAGACTATAATGAAGATTTCATGCTTTGCAAAAATGAAAACAACGATCCAGCACATTGTCTAAAGGAAGGACGAAAAGTTACTCGATGTGCTATCGATTTGTGAGTGTCTAAAGTAAGAATGTGGATTTGCATTGGAGGCGAAGACTTGGGCAAAGATGTGTTATTTTTTGCTTCAAAGAAGATATCTGCCATTAGATTATATTCTTCTGCTGACCAGTGAGTTATTATTGATCTATTTTAGGTTAAAAAAACTGCGGGAAAATTGCGATAAACAGTTTGAGGCCCATTGGCAGTGTCTGGATAAAAACAACCACGAATTTTATATGTGTCGCCCCGAAGAGAAAATATTCAATGGTTGCGTTCTTAATGCATTGGTAAGTGATGTCCATGTTTCTCACTACAATGCGTCTCTATAGTGTGATGCTAATGACTGATATCCATTTAGAATCTAAAGAAAGTTATCCCAGGCTCACCAGAAGGACAAACGCCAATCAATCTAAAAGAAAATCCCATATACAGGCCGCGGCCGCGGACGTAGCGGCTATAAAGTCTTACGCGATGCGAAGAAGTAGGACCGGTTGGTTGGAGGATTATAAGGCGCTTTGTCAACGGGCTATAGAACTGAGAGTGGGAAAAGGGAGGCAGTCTGATTACAGCCTCCCGCTTGTGATGGAAGCGGGGGCATGAAAGGTGTAGATTAGGATAAGAGACATGATACTTATTGTCAGAGTTGTGTGGATGACATACAAGCTTATTATTTTATATACTGTGAATATATGAACAATGATTCTAGTGATGTACTTGAAATAAAAAAGTTAGACAAACTCATCATCGATTGGTATTAGTGCTCGGAGAATTTGCAACATCCAAGTTTATCTGGTTGGACGCTAGGGATAATCAAGCATCTCTTTGGAAATGTGCATACTATCATTAGATTAACTAGGCGAAGCTCGATACATAGTGGCTCCTGTTAAACCAAAGTCGTTTGTGCGAGACGTTCGGTTTACGCATAAATTTCTACCAAGTATACCTAAATTGGTACTATATATAGTGAAATTTTCCGGTGCAAAACGTTTAACATACAACAGATGTCAAGTCTTAGGGTCGCAGAAATATAAACAAAGTGCAAGCAGGTTACTAACATTTAAGGATTTACCTAATTTCCTAAAAAACTATAAAGAAATGTCTTAATTCCATTGAGGTTTTGTGGGTCTTTATTAATATCTTAACTCCATTGACGGCCTTTATCGTCATATAAAAATTGTACGGTAATATGTTTTATGCCATCGTACATACACTCCCTGGACTAAAGTATCCGATGGGAGTTTTTTCGAGTTTATGCAAAATCCAGTATAATAATTTTTATATTATTTTGTAGCTTAGCTTTTCGCGAATCTGCATGTGAATTTTGAAGCGTTTAGCTTTCTTAGACGATGAATTATCAAACAGAAAGCAATTGCAATTAAATTAATTTTGCCGATTTTTGGCTCTAAACTTTTAGTACTGAGTTGGCCATCCATTATTCGAAATACATGCCTCAAGCCTTCTTGGCATGCTCTTAATCAAATTAAAATTGGAATATGTTTTATGAGGAATTAGTGACCATTCCTCTTTCAGAACAATCTCTAATTCCGTGGCATTTTTTGCGATTGTTTAGTCGCCTTTCAAGCTCATTCCAAAGGTGTTCAATTGGATTAAGGTCAGGAGCCAATCAGGTAAATTTTGATTTTTTTTTTTCCCCTAATCCAATTAGTAATGTATGCACAGGAGCATTGTCATCTTGAAAAGCATAACCTTTTCCATTAAAAGCACTTTGAATTAAAGGCAAAAGTGTTCATCTAAAATTCTAATATAATCTTGATGATTCATCCACTCGTATTAATGGACCCATGCCCCTTCCTGAAAAACATCCCCATACCATTATTCCACCACCGCCGTGTTTAAATGAAGGTACAATATTGTGACAATTATAATGTAAACATATATTGTACTGTATGTGTAGCACGTATACTCACACTTCATCGAGCTGCTGCTTTATAACGATAATATATATGTTGTATATAATTTTATTGTTATTATTTTCCGAATAGCGCAATCAATTAGCTTGTTGTTAGTATTGTAAATATACAGTACTTTCAGTACGGGATTGACGCTCAAAATGCTGTGGTATCAGAGAACTTACAATACAGGGTGCTCTCATCAGCTTACCTCCCCTGACAGATTTGGCAAGTAGGTAAGGTGCTCATAAAC